CCCGCCTACCTTGCAGGCACTGGGGGAGGGGACGGGCCTGCCCCACAGAAGGCCGCTGGTGGGTCGCAGGACCCTGTTCCCTGCAGGCGCGTGTGTCAGCTTTGTCTCTTCGCAGATTGCTGGGCCTGACCTGCCTGTGGGTCGCCGGTTCTCCTACTTTGCAGGCACTGGGGGTCACTACTGTGGTTTTATCTGCCATGTTTATGAAGTCATCTGATTCACCTATGCATATCAGCCAGCACTACTGTGGTTTTATCTGCCAGGTTTATGAAGTCATCTGATTCACCTATGCATATCAGCCAGCACTACTGTGGTTTTATCTGCCAGGTTTATGAAGTCATCTGATTCACCTATGATTTTGTAGCTGCTTGGGTCTGTTTTACTTAGTGATATCATCTAGTTTATCACCAATTTGAACAAGTTGTACATATTTACAACACATCTATTGCTATCTACCCATATCTATCTATCTATCTATCTATCTATCTATCTATCTATCTATCTATCTATCTTTTGTACATCTAAAATATCTCTGTTTAAGAAGCACAGAGCCTTTACATAGTGCTTTAATTGAAATCTAATTAATATTTATAATCAGAGCTAACTACTTCCCTGAGAGATTTAGTAGACAATACTAAAAGTAGGTCACCAGCATCTAAGTCTCCCTTATCCCCTTTTCACAATCCCTGTCAAATCTCTTGGCCATCATTATTTGTAATAGAGTGCGTTATTTGCTTTGTCTTATTTTCCAGAGCTCTGAATTCCTACTGAAAAGTTCAACGTAAAGCCCAGAAAGAGATCTCTTCAGTTATCTTGGCCCGGTCCTTTGTAGCCAACCCAGCTTGGTAAGAGAATGGACTTTATTGTTTATTTCAGTGCCATCTGGGTAAATGTTTGCAACTAGCTTCCTGAAAATACAAAAACAATTGATTTGTAGCTTTGACAATTTTTATCATGTAAATATTTATACCATGACTGACATGGAGCTGCCAATGTGAACTGGGAAAAGATGGGCAGTAGTATAGCATTACATAGTGCTTTCACCACACGGATAAAATGGATGTAAATAAACTAATATTAATAAATTATTGATGTAAATAAATATGCTCAAGAACATAGAGTAGTGAAATATAGTCAAATAATTAGAAAGCAGTGATGAATTTTGATAATTTATTACCTTTTAGTTTACCTAATTTAAAGCTTGTACAATGTAATTTTAAAAATCATGGTTCTGAGTAGCATGTAACAGTTATTTCCTGCAAACTAATTTGGACTGGATCCCACACACCCCTGTTCCATAAAGTCATTGGAGGATGATTATTCATTAGGACTAAGAAAATAAATAAAAACTGAAAGCCAGAAAAAGTAGTGCAGTTTTAAATCCGGGGGTCGAGCAAATCCAAACTTAGGGAAAGGAGTCCTAAATTCAGAAGGCGGGAAGATTAGGAGACTAATTGTGTGTGTTAGTTTCCTATGGTTGCCATAACAAAGTACCACAAACTGAATAGCTTAAACCAATAGTAATTTATTGTGTTATAGTTCCAAAGAACAGAAATCAAAAATTAAGGTGTTGGCAGTCCCTTTTCACCTTCAAAGCCTCTAGGAGAAGTTCCTTCCTTGCATCTTCCAGCTTCTCATAAGCCAAGGCATTCTCTGTCTTGTGAGAGAGTAACTCCAATCACTGCCTCTGTCTTCACAAGGCTCTATTCCCTCTGCACCTACATTCAAATTTGTGTCTTCTTATTAGGATGCCATATTGAATTATGGGCCCAAGCTACTCTAGTAGGTTTTAACATAGCAAGTTTTAATTACAATGACATCATCCCCAAATAAGATAACATTCTGAGGTACCATAAGGTTAGGACTTCAAATCTTTATGAGGGACACATTTCAACCCATTACATTATGAAATAATACTGGGTCTTGGAGGTATGCTTTGCACACAAGGCTGTAAATAATGCAGAAGAACTAGAATCTTCCCTTTCCCTGATCATTTTCCAAATGGGAGACATACAGAGATAAACTAGAAAGCTTAAAACTACAGGGCAGGATGGATGCAAACTTTTTTCTAATCGAGAAAATGTATTAAAAATGACAAACTAGGGCTGAGGTGTAGCTTAGCATGTGTGAGATCTTGGGTTCAATTCCCAGTACTACAAAAAACAAGAGAATAAAAATGACAGACTAGTTTACCTTATTATTTACAATCATCATATTAGCTTTATTTGTTTTTGAAAGTATGCTTTTTAAGCTAGAAAACTAATTACACATATACCCTTATTTTGCAATCCAGTACCATCGTTGCAGACATAATTTATATAATCCCTTTTGATGTCCTTCACCAAATACATTGGTGATGTCTAAAATTGAATTTGAGTTTAGCTTCTGCAATACATAGTATAACCACTCAAATAAGAATAAAAATACCAAAGAAATATTGTATTTTATGTCCTTAGAGCCTATTCTATGCATTTAATTTCCAAAAGACTTGACAGATTTTTTGTACAGTATTGATTTTTTAAAATACAATATGGAAGCTGAGTGATTGGAATTGTAACCCCATTGATGGCAGAGAAGAGCAATGTTGAACACTCCCAAGAGGATGGTGTCTAAAAAATCTAGAGAGAACTATATTTCACTACACATTTGGTCTATAAATGTGGCACATGCCATAGAGTTTACCGCCCAATGTCCTGTCTTCATGATCAATGCCCATTTCCAACAATGTCTTATGAATATTTCATTCCTGGCTATGGTTTTACTCTCTGGCTTCTCTTTATCTCAGTGATGTAGGATTAAAAAGACAGGTAACCGATTTTCAGAAGTCCTGGGAGGAGGAAAATGAGGAATGAAAGTTTTTATGCAGTTTTCCATTTTAAGTGAACACAGTGATTCAATGTTAAGACACATGTGAATTAACTGACAATATTTTTGAGTTAAATTTTGAGAACTCTCTGTATTAGAATTGCAGGTCCTACCATTAGCACTGAAGAACATATTCTAAAGTTGAAAAGTAGCCTTCTTAAGCTATTAGCTAGCCTTGCTGTGTGTTGAGTGCATGTATGTGTATGCTTCTGATATTCTTTCAGAAGGAGGTGTGATTCAATTAGAATACTTTTATGACAATAATGGAACATATTGAGTATATGTATCTATTATAAATGAAAAGTACTATAGTTATATACTCAAAATATCCAGACAGATAGTTACTGATCATTATATCCATTTGATGAAACAGCAAGGTTTTTTTTTTTTTTTTTTTTTTTTTTTTTTTTTGGTACTGGGGATTGAATCCAGGAATGCTTAACCACTAAGCTGCTCCACAGCCCTTTTGATTTTTTATTTTGAGACGGGTCTCACTAAGTTTCTCTGGGCCTTGCTAAGCTGCTGAGGCTGGCTTTGAACTTGTGATCCTTCTGCCTTAGCCTCCCAAGCTGCTGGGATTATAGGAGTGCATCACTATGCCCAGCTCAAGAACATTTTTGAAGTAGGAAAACACTTTAAATAAGATAAGCAAAAATCACTGATTAAAAAAACACGGGAGGAACTGAAACAGTGCTACAAAGGAAGTACTATGTACTGAGCACTATTTTATTACAGATTCCTACATGTTTCTGTATCTTTTAATCTTCATAATAACCCAGAAAAACAAGCATTATTAGCCCTCCTCTGATAAATTTGAAGCTCCAAGAGGTAAAATCACTCACCCAGCATTACACTGGCATCAAGTAAGGAAGGTAGGATTTGTCCCAAATTATTTTATTTCCAAATGCATGTTGCTTTTATTATATAAAGAGGGTAATAAAACAGATTCTACTGATGAAAATTATATGAATATTTTTTTTTCTCTCTCTCTTTTTTCCTCTCTCTCTGTCTTTCATGGTGTTGAGGATTAAAACCAGGGCTTGTGCATGCTAGGCAAGCACTCTACCACTGAATTACACTTTCAACCCTGAAGATAGGTTTTTTGAGAAGTCAAAATCATGCTATTATTTTTTTTACCACTTTACAGAATTCATTTGCCAAGCAAGGTAGCGCTCAAAAATATAATAGATGGGGGAAAAAGAAAAAGCAAGAAGGTGGTGAAAGCATTCATGGAAGACCCATTTTAAGTAAATCATTAAGGGATTTTCGAATGATCTACAAAGCTATTCGCATTCTCCACCTTTGATTTCATGAGCTAAGAGACCCTCATCTAATACTGGGCCCATATTTCAGACTGAGTCATCCGCTTGGTAGTGCTCAGATCTGAAAAGAAGTGGAAATTAATTATTTGTTTCACAAGGTGCTGCTTCTAAAGGAAATGTGTAGGTGGGGGAGCAAAGCATTCATGAAAGGGTGCTGTATGAAAGTTTTTGCAATAATTAGGGCAGGGTAGAAGAATTTGTGACCTTTTGGCCAGGAAGAATGTTCCTCGCCAGTTTGATGTGGTAAATGCCAAGGGCATGGCAAATTCATAGAGGGATCCAAGGCACTCTACCATTCCTGAAGATGAAAGGCTGCTGCAAGTGCAGCCCTCACTCCCTTTGTCTCTGTATAATCTTCTTGTACCCAAGCCATGTATGATAGCAGATTTTGTGGACTGAGCCCCAGTTTTGTAATAACCTTTGGCTTTGGTAGTTCAGACACTTCAAAGTTTAAGAACATGCTAATAGCTATTTAAATTTCCTCAGGGCCTATCAGAAAGCACTTTATTTTGGTTTGGGCTTGTAAATCAATAGTGGTATTTAAGGGGTCAATTCAGAAGATAATGATCAAAACGATTTGAGGTGCTATTGTAACATTGGTATGGTCTTAATGAAAAAAAATAAGGAGAGAAGGAAGATGTGAGCATCTTCAGTGGAATGATTTTGGTTCTTCTGTGGAAACTGTAGTAGTAAACTATTGTAGTTAGAGCCCAGAGTTTATTCATTGCTTTAGCATGCTATCAACTTATAAGCTCCAGACAGATTCAACAAGCATTTGGGTCAGAGACTCATTAAAAGAATAGTTTAGTTGATATATAACCTGGCATTACATCATTCTGAATTGTGTATGAATAGGGATTTAAAAAAAAAAAAAGATTTGCTAGTTTGCTGGAATGTAGCCTCGATTTTATAGAACTTAAAGTTTCCTGGTGTAATATAAAACCCTTTCTTTGTATTATAGCACCATTCCTAATTATGTAAGGGAACTTTGGATAAAATAGTATATAAAGGCCAAACAATATTTGACTAACAAAGTTTGCATCACATATTATTTAAACATCCATTTTTTGAATAGTGATAGATGTATGAAAACAGAAGATGCAGAAAGGAATCAGATGAAGTCATCTTTCACACTTTCATTTAATTCCCACAAGTCCAATACCAAAGATCCATCCTGCCTTTTCCTCCTATTTCCAATGAGTTTTCCATTAAAATTTCTTTCCAGTTTCATTCACAATTGCATTTTATTTTATTCTGCTCCTGTTATGAGAATGAAGAAATAATATATAAAAATTTTAAAGCTGTAAGTACTAAAATGTTAGGAATCCTTCCCCTGTTCTCTTTGGCTGTGGATCTTTTAGACTTTTTCTTTATTTAATTGCTTCAACCAGAAATCAGTGGTGTCTTCATAGTGATTAAAGTAGATTTAACATTGTTTTCTTTTAAAAAACATTGGCTGGTATTTATTATTTACTCTGTACCTCATCATATTTTCACAACAACCACAGAAGGTAGGTCCCCTTATTGTTCCCATGTTACAAGTAGTGGCTTGGCTAACTTCAACAAAGATAAACACCACTGTGCATGAATACAGAGTTCATGTGCCTTTTTTATTATTGAACACTTTCTCTCCTTACTTAGTCAACATCCCCAGGGAT